TATTACGTTATAAGTTTTGTTAGAATGTTTAAAAAAATATGTTCTATGTATTAGCTAAGACGCCATCCCATTTCTCTCAAAAAGAATTTATGTGAAGCTTAAAAATGTGCACATCTCATCAAAGCCACACAACTGCAGCTACAACGGTGAAACTTCCCATTTGTTTTTTCAGAACTTACATTATGGAGTGGTTTAAACAGAACACGCCTCGTTGACCACAGTAACAACTTCATATATTGAAAAATCAAGAAACAGTTACTTCAATTTACATTAATTTCCAAAATGAGCCGGGATAGCTCAGTCAGTATAGTGACTAGCTACGGGCTGGACGACCGGGGTTCGATCCCCGACGGGGGCAGAGGATTTTTTCCTCTAGCCTCTGCGTCCAGACCGGCTCTGGGGCCCACCCAGCCTCCTCTACAATGGGTACCGGGGTCCTTTCCCGGGGGTAAAGCCGGCCGGGGCGTGATGCTGACCACTCACCCCCATCTAGTGCCGAGGTCAAGGAAGAGAGGAGCTATACCTCCACTCACCCCAAGCGCCTACATGGCGTATAGTGGGACAAACTTTTACTTTACTTTACTTCCATAATGACAAACGAAATTCTACAATTAACACTTAACAGCAATCTTTCGACAGGAGCAAGATTATTTAAAAAGGTTTCGTAAAATACATTCGTAAATAATCGGTTTCATGTCGGTCCGTCCGTCAGTCTGAAATTATAACAGCCCAGAGTGCAAAACCAGTAAAGTAATACTTCCATTTAGGTAGGACATGTAGCACGAATCTGAATAACCCTAACGTTTGGTCGTAAGGAAATGTAAAATTAAGACAAGCTCTGCTCAGTACTACAGATCACAACAAAGTTTCTCTGTTCTAAATCACATAATTATGTCTTAATGTGTATGAAGAGCACATGAAATGAAGATCCACCAATATCGATCAATTTTCTATGATCTCATGTCTCACACGGCCTCTTTTCCTTTTCGCGCTTTAATGCTTCTACATGTTTCGATGTCATAGCATCATCTTCAGGTTTTTATATTTAAAACTATTCTATATTTATTAATGCAAGCTTTCCGTTTGTTGTAGATTGTAGATTACTATTGTGGGTGTTTTCTTTGGTCTTCTTATTATTTTGCATATTATGTTAGTTGTTCATTGTTCTGTGAAATTATTAATAATATAATTAACATTTGAGTTATTAATATTATTTATATGAAAATGAGTTTGGATATCGTAATAAAAATTCACGTAAAAGTAAGAAAAACGTAGAAGTATTAAAGCGCAACATTGTAACATCTAGATAATGATGAATGGCGCAGAATATCAATTTTAAACTTCTTCTTCTTCTTCTTCCTCCCCCGTTCCAGGACCCCCTATGTCAAGCCCTTCTTACGTTTAATGGGTTCTCTCGTACTTGTAATGATGTTGTATGGTCCAGCAACAATCTCGCTCTTATTACATGTACTGGGTGTGGTGGCAGTAATATCTAGGCCAACATGGTAGGATGAAAAATATTAATTACATTTAGAACAGCAACAGAAAGAGATAGAGAGAGGCTCAGTGGAAGGAGAAATCAACTCCTGTGTTCAGTTGTAGCGCCGTGTAGACCCCCATTAAGGAAGCAGCAAGGACCTCCGAAACGTCGGTAAACTTCTACCAGACTACACGGCGCTGCAACTCAGAAGACAGCAGCCTCAGTTCCCTTCAGGTTTCCCGATAAAAAATTTGCATGCATTTCTGAAGTAGAGTGAAAAATAAAAATTGCGAACACGCGCTTACGAAACGTCATCGGCGAGTCCTTTCGTCAGTCTGCATAAAAAGGCGAGCGAGAGTGCGCATGTCCTTACAAAACGCGAAGTGCCTACACGTACATATGTCCGTCTCTCAGTCCTACAACGGTCGGCCTTTTGGTCATCATCTGAGCCACGAAACGCACGAACGCAGACCCCACCCTCAGCGCAAAACATGACGCATTTCGTCCGTCCTTGTCCCCAGCCTTTCTAATAAATTAAAACACTAAACTCCTGATTACGTTACCCCCTTCCACGCACAGTGTAGACTAGCAACTGGGAGGGTCAAACTTTGCTTCCTTAATTAATCCAATGCTAACCATATGTCCCACCTGCTTCAACAATTTATTCAATGTGCTTCATATCGTGTTTTCTTCGCGGTACGGTCTGAATTATTAAATATTAATCAGACGAACTGTGATTCTCAGTGTAAACAGCGTTAACCAGTTGATCTTTGTAATGGTGAGGCGTTGTGTTTTCTTCGCGGTACGGACTGAATTCTTTAATATTAATCAGACGAACTATGATTCTCAGTGTAAACAGCGATTATTTCCTTAAACAGCGTTAATCACTTGATCTTTGTAATGGTTAAGTGTTGTGTTTTCTTTGCGGTACGGACTGAATTCTTAAATATTATTTAAACGAGCTTCGGTTTCAAATGGTTAAGCACATTAACAAAAAACTTGAGCATTCAGAAAAAGGATTTCGCTGAGTATTCTTATGGGACAGCTACACGCTCCGACCTTTATAACCCAACAGCCAATGTATGTGAGACTGAATATAACCCACGGCCGTCCTCGATGAGAAAGTCAATAACAAAAATCTACCTGTAATCTAACCACGGTACTACAGCTAACAGTCAGGTACTCGACTGCCTCAGTACTGTTTCTGTTGATATTAGATACCACAGTAATCTATCATTACAAATAGTTTTATTAAATTCGTTTTAATATTATCTATGCGCTAAGCATTGCATTCATATTGCATTATAAACTCATACGAGGTTACAAGATACCTTAATATGACTTCAGTGAATTTTTAATGTCTCCACGGAATATCAGAATTAGTTAATTACTTTCAATTAGGCCAGGACAACGTAGCCTACTAACCGGGAATTACAAATCTATAATTTATGTAACATTATTAAACGGGATAACTAAGTCAGTAAACTAAGTAGGCAATACATCGCTGGGGTTCGATCACCGACAGATGCAGGGATTCTTGCAATGATATCCAGACAAGATTTCCGTCTTCTGGGTTGTTGCGCTGTGTAGTCTGGTCGATGTTAACCAACGTTTCAGAGGTGAATATTCATCGCCCTGATGACGGAGGCAGTATGACCTCTGAAACGTTGGTTAACATCGACCAGACTACACAGCGCAATAACCCAGAAGGCGGAAATCTTCATACTCACCGCTGTGAGAACCTCAAGTCTTACATATCCAGACAAGTTGTGACGAACACCAAGCCTCACGTAAATAAGGCATTTAAAGCTTGAAGCTGACTTCTGCCTGTGCCGAGGACTAAAATGCATGGACATTTGTATCTCTGCCCCCACTTCTTGGATCAGTGCTTAAGTGTGGGAGCAATTTCTAACTCTATTTTATATCAAGGCATGGCGACACGCCCACGGGTCTCCTCCATGACATAAGCACTTTGCACTGAGCGGCTGCTATGAGGTCATTCCGACTGCCAATCGCAAATCGAAGGATACGACCCACACACGAGTTCCTCTGACGACAGAAGACCACTTCCCTAATAAAACTTTTTAGGTTATCTCAGCACAGAACATAAGGCTTTAGGAAATGTAGACAGACAGTAACAATTCTGGCTTTTTCGTCAGAATTTGGTCTTTGTAAATAACCGGGGAATTTCCCTTGGCTGTGGATTCCCTCACGTGAAGACCAATTGACCTTTGTACGTGGGAGTCTCCATCCAGCCACTATGAAGAACGCGATCACATGTAGATCTTCATGCACAGTGTCTGTTAATTTTGTCCGATTTTCAATACAACATAAATTTATAGACTAACAGCGGTAAAATTTTTCAAATATCAGATTTCACTGATATCCCTTCAGCCGGACGAACGGGTACTTTAATTGGAGCACCGCACATATGCGAACGCATCGAAAATTTAATGCTGTGAGGAACACGTCTACCCGACACTACTGATTTAGACAAAATTTGGTACTGAGAGATTTCTAGGCACACGATTCCGTAACAACCACTGACTTTCATGAAGTTTTTAAGTAGGCGAATATTAAGACGGAAGATGGCTGCCTTATGGGTTGTAGCGCCGTGTACTCTGGTACAAGTTTACTTAAGTTTCAGAGGTCCTTGCTGTGATAATGGAGACATAAAATACATCTGAAACGTCAGTGAACTTCTGCCAGACTACAACCCAAAAAAACAGCAATCTTCACACACGAAGCTGGAAAAATATTTTACGGATTTCCTCAGAACGGCTAATCATAAAAAAAACTGTGCATCCGTCTTCCTATATATTTATTAGTTTTGATATTTGTTGCAATGAAAGAATGTCAGACAAAATCCACCAATTAAACGGAAAGACTTCATAAAAAGCAAAACAATGCTATGACGTATACGACTTACTGGCTGTATAATAATATGTGATAAGAGACTATAACTGAAATTAGTAAACTTTAAAATGTCAGAGTTCAGGAGAGGCCACGCGAACGAGTTGCGTGACACCTGAGCGATGTTCTGATGTTTCTTTCGCGTTGCTAAGTCGCCTTCGTTCGCTCGCGAACAAATGAGTTATGAGAAGCGGACAACCTCGTCTTCTAATGTCGTGTCATTTATTTGACAGGAAATTGTAAAATAATTAAGTAAATGTACCAGATAAATATATTACATCGTAGAAATGAATAACACAGCGCGTCACAACAGCAAAATCATTAACAGTAGAAGATAAGAATGTTGAATACGTTCTGCTTCATTTTTGTTCGCGAATTCAAGCTAAATTTAAAATAAATCAAACTTGCTACATAAGTTCAAGGAGTTATTTTGGAACAAACTTCTAATTTTCCCGACACATGAAAGCAGAATATAATTTTAGAACACATAAACCTAGAAAAGAGACAAGACGCTAATTCTAAAGTGGAACTTAACTTCCATGATTTGGTTTCGGATTATTATAGCATAAGGTTTAATAACCTCGAGAGGCTTTAATCAGGTACTCACCAGACGCAGCCTTCCGAAACGTCGTGGGGCGCCTGCAGAAGCGGAGTAACCTGAAACGAAATTTTAAACGAGGTCATAATGGGAAGAAGCACGCAAACACCAAGCTTTAAGTAACGTCCAAATGTGAGATAATATTAAAAAAACCAACAAAAAAAACCCACTAAACTGGCAACCGGTCGCATATTTTAAACAAATTACCTTTGTTTTCAAAAACACTAAACTGGCAACCGGTCGCATATTTGAAGGTTTCCATTTCTGTGTCTAAATAAACTAATATACTTCCACGAGTGATAACCTTAATAAACAATACACATTAAAAAGATGTACTGTTAACAAGACATAGAATGATGTTTTATGATCAGTAATAAAAACAAAGAGGCTGAGAAGCGTCTAACATTACCATAGTAACAGTTATAATAATGTATGCATAACAGGCACATATCATCATAAACATTCTCGTATTTAATACACAAAAATATATTGATAAAATGTATTTTGAGAAGTCTTGTGGCCTGAAATGTCGGTCAACTTTCTGGGTAGCGAACTCGTGGTTCTGACATCTGTCGACTGAATAATTAATTTCTAAATTGTTTCTTATAGATTAAATATATTACTAAACAACCACTTCCAAATCATCACGATGGAAGCAGCAATGGCCTCCGAAACGTCGGTAAACTTGTACCAGACTACACGGCGCTACATCCCAGAAGATAGCTACCTTAATGGCGCCCTCACACAGTCACAAACGTGACCTGGTTACCGACGCACGTCGCCTTAACCATTACACTAAGCGCCAAAACGTAAATCCACTTTATTCTTATCTGCGCTGAAAAGTCGAGAATAACAAATGTAGTTGAAATGTAGTTTAAACAAATCAATACCAATGTTTCGTACACGAATAAGGCAAATTAAACTGGAGACAGATACACGTCGTGAAATTTGTGAAGAAAGTGATACCATTCGAATTCAAACATTTGGTTACGCTCTGCTGACACAAGTGATAAATCTTGAATTACTGGTAGCTCACTATAGAATCTCACCCTGGGATTCAATTAACATTTATCAGAGCTTTATACAGCGACCGAAAAATATAAAAGCTAACTTCAATATTTTCAAACTGGACAGAAACATTGGCCAGGAAGGAAAATGTACGAAGGCCGATAAACGGGGAAAAATAAAATCGAATGTTTTCGGTTAAACCCAAACGTGCATTCAATTGTGTTGAAATTTGTTAAAGAACATCCTGTATCTGAAAATTACAGATCAAAAATACCATCAAACAAATCAGACGTCAAAATCGTACATTTCGCCAAGCAAAAACAGCATCGTACGAACAACGATCATTTAACCCGAAGGTTTCGAAAGAGTTATTTCGTATAATCCCTCGAGATGGCGTTTGCAAAGTCTGAATCATTGCAATAAAAAAATAAAATAAAAAATTCAGGACTAGAGAACAGTACAAGCGCAAACGGACATCAGAAATTCTGTTTCGACTCAATACATCAGAGCTGACGAGAATTTCAATCACGGGACATGACACGATACTCCGTACTACCAGCTGATTAGTGCAATATTGCCAATCACTTGGACTGCCGACATAGCCAGTGAATCTCGTATAGCCACTGCACGAAGAACGATTAAAATTCATAACTGGTCTCAACATTTTCTTCCCTGGTGATGTGAGTTTAATAACGCAGTACACTACAGCCACTCACGGCCACTCTGATGATATACGTGCAGTGATGAACTGTGCGCGAGAGGGAGAGGTATAATAAAACAGACAGCCCATACTGGGCGGTGCACCGGAACTTTGACCTCACAGAAATAATCTGATGGTACCGAGTTTGAACCCTGAAGGCAACTATATCAAATGAATACCAACACTATTATGCCCTTCCATTTTGCAGAAAAACTGGTGGAGTTTCACTCCACGCCTTCTCCATAGACAGATGTCGTGTACAGCACGGCTTTTACCTTAAGCCAATGAGTTCCTTGGAACAAACTGTTATGACAAATATTTGTTTAAATCTTGTCAGTCAAATTGTTATGACAAAGTTAACAGACTGTTCTTTAGCAACTGTTAGAATGAGAAGCGTACGAGGTGCGATCGGAAAGTTTCAAGACTACGCCTATAAAAACCCGTACACTTATCTCAGGTATTAAATTCATCCATCACCCTCGAAGTAGTTCCCCTGGGAGTGAACACGATCCCAGCGCCGCTGCCAAGCCTGGAAGCATCCCTGGAAATCTTTCTTTGTCAGCCTGTCAAGCACCATCTGCGATTCTGCCTGAATCTCTTCTATCGTCTCAAATCTCCTTCCCTTGAGCTGAATTTTCATCTTTGGGAAGAGGAAAAAGTCACACGGAGCT